TAAATACTCAGGGCAGCTTCAATTTATAGGTTGTCTTTAATTATCCTTTTATCTATAATTATTTGGAGTCTTAGTTAACAAAAACTATACAAATTATTAAAAATAACTTCTCCTGTCGCTATCTTAACAACGATTTAGAACTGGACACATCAAAAATGGGGTGGCACACGAACTCCTTGTGAAAATTTTCCTGCATTCGAAGAATCCTCATTTGCCTCAAAAAGCTGAGGGGACTAAAAGATTAACTAGAAGAGCGAAAACACTTTGCGAGACGTACTATTCTATGTTAGGCCGTGAAATTCTGGTCCAAAGATACTAAAATCCTTTAATTTTATAAAAAGGGATCAAAATCAAGGACGTGAACCGAGAACCAAATTGATGTAGACCTAAAAAATCCAACAAATTTCGTGGATGGTACTTGTTTAGAAGTGAAAAAACCAAAAGTTACAAGTTTTAGGAAATATGAAAATTGGACGGCTTCAAAAATTAAAACATAAACTTATGCTGAACACAAACAATTTCAAAAAAATTTAAAAACATATTACAAATCAGGATACATTCAGGCCAATCAAAATCAGAAAAAAAAACCGCATTTCTAATCTTCTTCAGAGAAAGGTCGAAATGTTTTAATAAATGCGAAAACAGAATTTCCACCCACTAAATTTGATGAATATGGCTAGACCGGAGAAAATATTAAGTCAGGACGAATTGTCCGCCCAGACAACCCAGGAGCATTATTCTGAAATTTCAGCTTCCTTGCTTCCACAGCTTCGTGCTTTATTAATTTTGGGACCCAAAAATTCCACGCATCTCTACGTGGGATTTAGGGGGGTGCGGGAAGGCTAAGTCCGAATTTGCGCAAGTGATTTTACCTGGTATTTTTCCAAACACCGAATACCAGTTATGCCAGGCCCTTCGATTCTGAACTGCATGCCTCTAGTTAAACTTTTAGGAAGAAGAAATCATGAAAAACTGAAAAATTGCTTTCCTTTTTTTACATTTTCACATTTTTACATTTTACATCTTTTTACGTCTTACACTGAATGCATCCTGGCATATTTTAAAACCCAAAACATATGATCAAATTTTCTGGATTTATCAAAAATCAATTAATACAATTTACAATCGCCATCAATATTTCTACCTTTCTGCTCATGTAAACATCCATGTGTATTCACTCAAGCAAAAAATCTTCGCTTCCATAAAATATTATCGAAAAAAACATGTACAATTTTTGCAGAAGGTAATACAAAAATACAGTGTTATAGTTCTGATACAAAAGAAAAAAATTTTGTTCGGAAATTGGGAAAATCAATGAGAAAAAAAAAAAGGAATACACGACAGTAGGAAAGCTGAATAATCTGAGATCATTTCATGCAAAATATCGCGACAATGAGGTGGTAACTGTAATTAATTAGATTATTCACTGTTTGCTTATTTCTTATCTGCGCACCCTCTCGAAACTGAATTCGAAAAAACTGTTTCCTTCAAAAAGTCGCCTGCAGTAGCCGAAACAAGTGGAAGATAGATTCTCAATCCATCCGTCAGTTACAGCTCAGGGATGAAACACAGACAGGTTACCAAGTCACTGCAAATCCAGGCTTGCTTATTTGGGAGATCTAAATGGCACTTTCAGTGTTTTCATTAATTATCAAAATTCGATTGTGCTCCTCTCCACGGTGTTGGGCTAGCAACGCCAAACAAACTGCACATGTTAACATGTAGATTTCAGGCCCTCGTCCTCTTCCAATGTTCTGGCCAGGGATATTCATTGTTTGTATCTCTAAAATTTCTATAACACATATAGTCTAACTCAATTCCCACGAAGAACAACACCAGGTCTGTCAAGGCCACAACGGTAATCAATGTGGGTATCCCACGTTAATGGTATTATTGGAATGCGACCACACGTCGGTCGCAGCTACACCAGATTCTTCGATTTTCTTGGCGCCTATTGCCTGTTTGGGGCATATCCGTCACCTCCTCAGACTGTACATCAGCCGATTAAAGCAAAAGTCCACTTCTAATTTCTGTCACCAGGAAATCCATTCAAACGTCAAAATAAAAAAAAAAAAAACTCAAAAAAAGAGGATTCTGGTAGCTCCTTCCTCGGCCGTAGCTCAAAACCGGATGTCTTGAAAGCGCTAGATCTACACTCTCTCCCTTTCCTAAGCGCCAAATGTTAAGATCTATAGGAAAAGATATTTTTTCATGGGAAACTAAGCAAAATTTGGCCAAGTGACCCAATGAAACTAATTAGCAAGAGGCCGGAAGTACTGCAAAATGAATAGTCTTGTTGATATGACAAATCAGTGGATAAAAACGGTGAAAAAATCTAAAAACAAAATTATTTTGTTAAGAACGAGGTTTAGGGGAGGAGCGGGGGGGGAGGAGGGAGAGTGGCGCTGTCAGAACAGTACCCATTTTCAAAGAATTGTTTCAGGGACAAATAGAAATTCGTTCGAAAAAAGGACAAAATCGTCCTCAATCTCTTGTCAGGTATATTCCTTAAGGGAACGACAGAGCTCGACAGATAACGATATAACTCTCAGCCTGGCCCTTCTACACTTGTCCGTACTTCCCTCACTTTCTTCTAATTTGAATATTTTATGAAGTTATGAAAAAAGTTATAAGCGCGCTGCGTTGTGCACCTTCATAACCTAATTTTTTCCCTCATTTTTTCCGACTCTTTTATTTTCCAGCCTGTGTACGGCTTAAAATCACCAAATTCAGTCACCGGGCATGCGCGGTTCTCGCGTACGGCCTCGTGCAAATTTTTGGCGAGAAGAATTGCTAACTCGAGATCTAGGGAAGCTGGGAGGCTGAAATTTTAAAGGGATGTTCCCAAAAATATCCTATGGTTTCTGAAGCATCTGGGAAATGGAATCCATAAATTTTTACAAATGTAATAACAATACAAAAGCGCAATAATGGATCGACAGAAGATTAAGATAACGGCGCTATTTTCATCAACATTATCATCATCATCACAGTGTGTGGATTCTCAACAAACCCTGAGAGAGAGAAAAAAAAAAACAAGATGCTCGAGCAGTACAAAAATTAACATATCCGAAAGCAACAAATTTTTTAGGAGCAACAAATTTTTTTAAAAGCAAAAAAAAACTTTTTTTCGATGTTTTTGGCATTCATATAAAAATTCTCAAAGAAATATTATCC